CCCCCCCCCCCCCCCCATCTGCGCCTCTGCCGCTTTTCTCGTCTCTAATCCCCACGTTTTCCCGTCATTCTCGCCCAGTCACCTTCTCGACACTACACAGCACCATGCTGCCCAGCTTCTCGTGCGCCTCCTCCTCTGCTGCCATTCTCGCCCGCGCCTGCCTTCGTCTCCCCTAGGCGGTTGGTATTGACCCACCTCGGATCGCTCGCTTCCTTTGCTCCTTGTCGCGTGAGCAGGCGCTTTGCGGCTCGTTTCCTCGGCCCCCGCTTCGTCGCCCCGGCGATGAAGGCCCCCACCGTCCCGACGGTGTCGCAGCTGTTCTTCAATTCGACCGCTCGCCCGGCCGTCCCGTCGCTCATGCAGTCGGCCGTGTCGCGGTTCACCGGTGCCAACGGCTCGGCCCTCCTTTCGCGGCCAACCATGGCCGGTCTCCTGTCGCAGGGGTCCCCGCTGGCTGGCCAGCAGTCCATGGCCGGTGCCAGCCTTGCCGTCCGCTTCCGGTCCTTCGGTAACGAGTATCAGCCGAGCACTCGTCGCCGTAAGCGCAAGCACGGCTTCCTGGCTCGCAAGAGCACCCCCGGCGGCCTGCGCACTCTGGCTCGCCGCAAGAACCGCGGCCGCAAGAACATGTCCCACTGATGAGCCGGCTCTGGGTGCCGAGCTTTTCCCTCCTCCTTGCCCGTCCCCCCCCCCCCTCATCTCTTTCTCTCTCATTTACCTTCTTCTGCCACTCCCGCGTCCTTGATCCTTCCCCCGCTGTTTTCGCGCTCCCCCCCCCCCTTCCCCCAATAGATTCCTTTTGTTCTGCTTGGGCCTTCCTCCCCGGGTGACCGACACACCTGCCCTCGTGCGGCGGGGGAATATGTGGTTTTTGTGCTTTTTTGTAAGGTGCCTCCGGGGGCACTGCCGAGCTCCTGCCCAGCTGGCTGTCAGAATGACCCAAACTCCTCCATCCATGCCTCATACTTGGCGATGTCGGCAGCACACACCGACGGGGACGTCCGATCGATGGCCTTCTCAAAATCACTGGCCGTGGTGGGTTTGATGCAGTTCTCTGGGGGCACCAGAATGGGGGAAAAGAAACAAGCGGGGCAGCAAATGCCGGCCCGGTGTACGCGAGCGCAGCATGCGCATTCGGGAGTGACGAGGCAGACAAGCGATGTGTAAGAGGGGGCAGGGGCAGCGAGGGAGGAGAGGGTGCACAAGGAGGGGGAGGGGGGAAAAAAAAGGAAAAAAAAAGACGCACCCATAGACATTGTGCGCATCTCGTCGACCGTCAGTCCGCGGACCAGCTCCCGGACGGAGTTCATTGCGGCGTCGCGGCACACCTACATGGGCAAGGGGAGCAGCATGCAGGGGCACATTCATGGTGAACAGAGTGCAGGAGGGGG